TTTATTGCAATTCACACAATCACCATGTCAAATTAAAATGCTGATTCCTTTATCCATGTCTTTATCATTAGAGGAACACTATAGTCACCCAGACCACTTCATCTCCATGAACTGGTCTGGGTGCAATGTCCTTGTCCCCTGACCCTTCAATGTCATACTGACAGCCACTAGAGGAGCTTCTGTGGGCACAGACTGAGTAAAACTTGGTCAAGTGATGCAGGCCAGTGTCTTAGCCCAGACCATAGGAGGAGTCTTTTTCTATGTTGCCTAATGAGTAATCCAGTTCTGAGTGGGCTGCTTAATATTATGGAGGGTGGAGAGTTGTTTTGGAAAAATGTTAAATTGCAAAGGAAAAGGATACTGCTCTTACTACTGGTATTTTTCTATAAAACCGATCTTGCTTGGCTTTTGAGCTTTTGTGAACCTATTTTTGCCTATTTTGTGATATGAAGTAACAGCTATTTCATCTATAATGTCCACTACAAACAATCTGTACATATACCATACACACATGGTCTACAAGTAGAAGTGTATGTGATCAGTAATAGCATGTGCATACCTACTTCCTGTCATCTTGTTACACAGTGGAGATGGACTAAATAGGGATAAATGTAGCCAAGGAGGAAGCAGAAGAATAATGCAGGAATTCCTGTGCATTCCAAAAATTCAAAAGTACAAAATTTGGACATTTAGAATGGGATAGCATAATGTTTAGAAAATGTTAGGTGGATCAATAGAACTTTACCTCAGACTGTGCTAAGTAACTTTATTTGTCTTCCAAACGTTAATAGTATGTACTGATTAAATATTTTTCCTTCATCTTCGCATATAAAGCTGTAATTTTTTGTTTTGTTTTACTACTTACCTAGCTGAGATGCCTACTATAAACCCTTTTATGTATATTAAAATCTGTACATCAGAATCTCCCATTATATTGGCACATGTATGAATACAAATGTATTTTATATAATCATGCATTATATGCATTTATGTCAGACACAATAACAACACGCTGACAACATAGCCAATGACTATCTCCAATTGTTATAAAAACAAGGCTGATGTGGAAAATTACAGGTGAAAAGGGTGATGTAAGAAATGTAATATGTAAAATAAGATACAATTTTCCTTAGAACACTGTCTTAAGAATTATCAATCACATTACAGCATGGCCTCGGGGATGCTGCCTGTTTGAATATGTTGGGGGAGAGAGATATTTAATAAACAACAGTAAGGAAGCATCTTTGAAATATATGTATTATTTCAATCCAATCATAAATGATACAGTCTGCCAGTATGGTAACTCCAATTCAGATTAGCATACACCATTCAACATACATACTACTATTAAGACGCCCTCTCTCCCCATCTGTATTTATCTGTTTTATCCTCTATTTTGAAGGTACGTTGTATCAGACATTCCACAACTTGCAACATTTCAAACCTACATTTTAAAAATCTGCACTCATTTGTACTAAAGGAACACTCCAAGTTGCCTACTTACAACGGAGTGACAGAGGAGTTTTAGCACCATTACCACAATGCTGAACTGTAGTGGCTATGGTGCTTTGAGTGTTCCTTTAATACTACTTATTAGCATTTTTTTATTTTTAGTAAATGATTCAGTGAGTAATTAATTTGTGTAGGTAATAAATTAGTTTAAATGTGTGTGCGGGATTTGTGATTTCTGCTCCATTTAATATTGTCAAGTGTTCTGGCAGAATTGTGCACATGTACACCTAGATTTATATTGTCATTGTGGTTATGGTGCTTGTTTCAGAAATAGTTAATTCTTAAATGACGTGGCAGGAGATCTCAAGAAAAAATGGAAGGAAAACAAAATAGAATAATATGGTGTAGCATGTTCAGCAGAAGGATATTAGATAAGAAGATATGCACTAACATTTTATGGAGCCCTGAAGTGTCTCCTATAATGTAGCATTGAGTAGTAGGAACCCCACAAGAAAACAAGTACTACATTTTAACGCGTGTGAGAAAAACTGGTTTAAAAACAAAAAAATGGAAAAGGGTGCCTATAATTATGTTCAAGAATGTATACAGATAAGCAGCAACAACTTATAGTGAGTCTAGTGACTCATTATGGAAAGAACTCAAGCTAGCTTTATTTAATTAACTTTTAGGCATGTAGGAGGGAAGCAATAATCAATTTTATGGTGGTCCAGTGTGCGCCCCGGTGGTCTGCTGGTTGTCAAGCAGGTCTGCACTTTCGGCTGGGTGCAGACCCCTGTGAATGCTCCCTTCTGGTCTATCACTGGCAATGGAATTAGTAGTGATCTGCACCTAGCCATTGCTTCAGACCTGCACAGCTACAAATCTATAGATCTTTCCACCAGACTGTGCAGCTGCAGGGGATCACAGCAGATTCAGTGCAGTAATGTTAACTCCAGTTCTGCTGTTTGGGTAGTTAATAAAAACAACATTCATTTGTAATTGTTAACATTGTTGTATACACAATCCAGGGGTTTGGAAACATAGCGAAGGGGTTAATCTATTTAGCTGGTTCTCCGTCACATCATATACATGATAAAAGTACATTTTAATTTTGTTGTAAGGCTCCCTTCATCCTCTTCAATGATATTAAAGTCAAGACCATGCATGTATAGAAAGCATATATCTAAACAAGATCACTTTCATCTGATGCTTCTGATAAAAGCAATCATTTCTGTAATTTGATTCTTACTCACCACATGTAGACTGAACAGGTGTAGTATTCATCAAATCTAATAGCTGCTGTAAATCAAACAACATGGGCAAGTAACTAGGAATGCTGCCTGCTAAATTCACTGAACAGTGTGACCTGAAAACAAAATGGGTTCCTTGTCAAAAGACTTCTAATTTTTGGATGTGGCTGTGCACTTCGTCAAATAGATATCCTGTTTGGGACTGAGCTAGTTAAAGGGATTCTACTGGCACCAACATCACTTGTGCTAATTTAACAGGTCTTGTTATTTTTCAATTCTATTTACTTTTGATTTAAAAAAAATAGTTTTGTAACTTTCTGCAGCAAAAGCCTGTCTCCTTAGCCAAACCTAGTCTTTAGTCACAGTGTGTTCCTGGACAGGCCTTTGCCTCTCAGTATTACCAAACTCAGCCACTGACACCCATTGACAACTAGGGAGCTTTATAGTGAGTATTACTATGGCATTGTATGTCTCTGTGTCTGGCTGCATGTTTGTCTGGCTGGCTGTATCTATCATTTTATTATGCTTTATTTCACATCTCCTGAAAATCAGCTTCAGATAACACAGAAACCATTAGCTTCCAGCCCGAATTTTAGCAAAGTGGGCAGATTCTGTCTCCTCTCCATACTGTATATTTGTCTGCCAATTTCTGAGTTTAGCTTTTCTTAGTGCATTTCATTTCAGAGTTTTTCATTTCTTTTGTCTGGTTTTGTTTAAAGAGTTACCCAGGACACAACCCAATCCCTGCACTATATTTGCTGCCTGAATCGCATACTCTTTATTACACACTCTGTATTACTGTCTCTCACATATTACTAATCTCTCACCTATTACTGTAAGGAGAGACTACCTCCTAGACACCAGGAGTCTAGATATGGGCTCTGGCGTATAATGTAGTGATTGTATTATCAGCCAAGTCTAGGTTTTTATTTTTTCATTTCTGGAAATGCATGTTATTGGAGGTTAAAGGACCACTATAGTGCCAGGAAAACATACTCGTTTTCCTGGCACTATAGTGCCCTGAGGGTGCCCCCACCTTCAGGGACCCCCTGCCGCCCGGCTCTGGAAGGGGGAAAGGGGTAAAAACTTACCTTTTTCCAGCGCTGGGCGGAGAGCTCTCCTCCTCAGATCCTCCTCTTCTCCTCCCCGTCGGCTGAATGCGCATGCGCGGCAAGAACTGCGCGCGCATTCAGCCGGTCACATAGGAAAGCATTCATAATCACAGTGAGAAGCACGCAAGTGCCTCTAGTGGCTGTCAATGAGACAGCCACTAGAGGAAATAGGGGAAGGCTTAACCCATTCATAAACATAGCAGTTTCTCTGAAACTGCTATGTTTATGAAAAAATGGGTTAACCCTAGCTAGACCTGGCACCCAGACCACTTCATTAAGCTGGAGTGGTCTGGGTGCCTAGAGTGGTCCTTTAAGCTTTAAACCTGTGAATCCTTTCTGGCTGTGTGTTAATCTTGTTTGCATTTGTGCCCTGCCAAATGCTGCAGGTTTATTATGATAGTCACTGGATATATCTCTGCTAAGAGGTGATCATTTATTTTGTTTGATATTGATAGAAAGGTTACTGTTATAAAAAAGCAGAATGTAGTCATTAAACTTTGGGAGGGATTCAATTTGCTGAGGCTGTTTGTGTACAGGGCTATATGTCTTTAAATGCTATGATAATGCTTAAGTAATAATCATAGAAAAAACAAGTCCACTTTGATTGGCTCTAAAATGGAGACTGAATAAGATCAAACAAGGAAGTGAAAGGCTAGCAACTGAGGAGCCATTAGTCTGGAAAAACAAAAACAAAGAAAAAGGGTGTTTATGGTAAAAATTTCACAAACATATTTATAGAACAGTAAAGTAGTGATGAACAAGTATCAAATGGATATAAAATCTAAAGAGATTACCGCTGAACGCCAGGGAGAACAGTCGCAAGAGCAGGTAACTCCGAGGACCACACGGAGGAAAAACAATTGCAATAACCCCCTAACCCCCCTAAAACGACTGAAATGTATCCTAACACTACATGGGGCGAAAGGGGAAAAAAACAACACCAAAACAAGCCTACCTCTGGGCTCACGATCGGGGAGATGTGGAGCCAAGCATGAGGCGCCAAAGGAACCAGCATGGCGGCACTGCATGGCGGCTGCTCGGACTTCTCAGAAGAACTGTCTGAAGACATGGACGAGGCGGACCAGCCGACTCCCACCCCATTACGGACGGCGAAACAAAGTGGCACAGGAGCAGGCTCAGAGCCTGTAACCACGTCAGTCCTAAAAGCGCTGTTGGCAGACCTGCAGAAACACATCCACGAGGATGTCATGGTGCTACGCACGGAATTAAGAGGCCTGACAGGCCTCATTACGAAACTGGAGGGATGCTCACAGTCTCAAACCCAGAACATAGCCACGCTACAACAGACCGTGCAGAACCTACAATTGCAGAACCTGCAACATGAACGCCGTCTGGCGGCTCAAGAGGACTCCAGGCAAAGGCTTAACATAAAGATTAGAGGAGTCCCTGAAGAGGTACCAGACACTGAGCTGTCGAAAGTCACGGGGCGCATGCTATCAGCAATACTGCCACACAGACAAGGCAAAACAATTACCCCAGAGGAGGTCTTCAGGGTCCCCAAGCCACTGAGGGCCCTGGCCACCAGCACGAGAGATGTAATAGCCACCTTCCGCAGCGGCAAGGCAGCGGTCCTCTCAGCCCTACGAGGTAAAACCCCTTTCCTCTTTGAGGCCATGGAACTGGCCTTCTTTGCAGACCTGTCCAGCGCCACTCTAGCCTGGCGGAGGTCACTACGCCCTCTCACCTCCATGCTCCAACTATACAAGATTGACTACCACTGGCGGTCCTCCCGAACCATGATAGTACTGCAGGGGACGAGCACGCACATAGTACAAGATATCCAAGACGCTCCAGCCCTACTGTGGACCCTTGGCCTGCAGCATGACTCTCTCTCCCAGGAGGGGCCACCAAACAACGCCTCCCCGACCCACACCTGGAACCCGGCAAGGGTTACCCCATTCATACCTCAAGGCTCCACGCCGAATTCATACGCAGCAGTCACCACTTAAGGTCATCACTCTATATCACCCAAGGGGTCCATGGCTTTCCACCAGGCCATCAAGGGGGTACAACACAGATCACCGTCACAAGGCACCACTGAGCTTCCACACGACATCGGATGGTGTCACGGATACTCAGGCAGCTGCACGGACTCAGAGACTGCACCCTCTGCTGGAAGCATACGCATGCCACAACCCCAGGAGCACTGGACAATCATAGCTACAGCCTCCAGCCCACGTGAGCAGTGGATTGACCATTTTTCCCAAGGAGGCTGTCGTACCCCACCACTGAAGAGGCCACCTAGCCCCAATAGCAGCCGTTAACATTACTCAGTTAGAATGCAAAGTTTCTTTAAAATGTGTTGTGCCCCAAACTGAAGTGCACCGCAAGCTATAACATAGCCTATTTCGCATGATAGTCTTTACCCTGTTTAACCATAGCTGTTAAGGTGCAGTATTAAGCATCAGGTCCTAGCTCAAGCGCATTCTGACAAGTCTTAAAAGCCTCTGCAAGTCCCAAAACCACATAGAACCCCTTCTTGAGGGGAAATGAAAACCTCTTGAGGCCTAACCAAGGTACCAGCGTGAAATCGGAGAGTCAAGCCACCCTTATATCTAACTAGTCCCATACCGATATTACCCTATATACATCTACTATATACTACCCAAACAATTCATATGAGAGCTACTTAACAAGAAACGCCCGCACTGCGCTATTCTTACTACTATTAGCTCTCAGGCCAAATGGCCTCCACATAACAAGTATTACCCTGGTGACACTCATGGAGGCGTCACCTTTAATTGATTAACCGACCGACACATTTCTATTGTGCCTGAGCATTTTGCTACCATAGCTCTGACTACCACTAAATCTGTGAAACGTACACTATGTTTTATCTGTTAGAACTATTTCCCTTAAAATAACTGAGCCTTTTCAAAATTAGAACAGAATAGGATCTAAGATATTACCGGTACCCTGAAAAACCCACCATGCAGCAGGCAGATAGTAATACAAAACTTAAGATGTAACAAATTGTATACTAAGAATATATTCAGTCAACCAATAGCTACCAGCGGATCGACATGTCCATGTTAGTTCATGTAGCGCTATACTTACTAGGTCCTGGTGCACAAGTTACGTTTTAAAACACGAATGGTGCATAGATATTCCTGTGTGTACCCTGTGTTAACAAATGTTCGTTCCAGTTTCTGTTGTTATAATTTTTATTTTTTCACTCATGCTGACTATACGATTACTCAGCTCCATACTATAAAAGTGTGCAGACCCTCTACCTGCCATGTTAAGAACTGTATTATGATAATGTGCTTGTGACTGCTGTCGTGGCAACATAAGCTGGTTGTTAATGCTTGCACAATAAAAATAAAGAATTTTAAAAAAAAAAATCTGAAGAAGGTCAGTTTTAGAACATAGAGTCCTTTTAATACAAATAGATAATTGACTAACCGTAACGTGTAATAAGATGATTTCTTATACAGCAAGTTTATTCATTTATATAAGTTTGTACTCTCACAGGTTGCTGTTGGTACCCATTAACTGGTAAAGTTTTGGTGATGAAGGTGTCTTTTATTTATAAACGTTTGACATGTGTAGGTGAGCAGAGAGATAATCTATATGACTCCCAAACCCTAATCACCAATGTATAGGCTGTCACGAATACCAGGAGAACCTAAACGCACAAACAGGTCACAGACACAAAGATATTGCAATATCGGTCCTTAGAATGGCCGGGCTTGCAAAAGAGATAGAGTGGTCAGAGTACCAGCCGAGGTCAAGGATCACAGAAAACAGAGTAAATGAGAAACGAGCCGAAGTCAGTAACCAGACAATAAACCACAATACAAACGCGCTATTGGTCTATGAAAGACCACAACAGGGCACTGAGGCAAGGGGGAGGTGAACTTATATACACACAGGGTGTGTCTGATTGGCTAACTTCCAATTAGTGTTAATTACAACACGTGGGAGGTATCTTTTCCCTCTCTTGTTATCAGTGAGGTCATCACTGTGTGCCAGGTCACATGACCGGGTCTGACACACATATAAGGAAGCTGCCTTGGATCATGCAGCGAACTGGAAGACGCCTTTCGCGGTGATGGGGTAAGCAAGGATGCCGCGAGAGGCGCAGGGGCAGGGGACCTGACATAGGGCTATAGAAGGTTTTCTATGCTACAGAGAGGATAGAATTAAAAAAGGGCATTTAAAGAAAAAAACACATAATTAGAACTTGAAATTCTCAAATGGAAAATTATAATTTAGTCAACAAAGACAGGTCACGTAATTATTATTTTTTTTCAGTTCCAATGAACACATGTAAAATGCAACATATGTAACACCTCCCTGCTTTATTATTTAAATCTATGTATGGAAGTTGTAAAATGAGCTATTAACATTGCAATAAAGATAAAAATAATTTTACAGGAGATATCAAACACAAACGTAATTTTTGTTTACCAAGATTCCGCACACAGGAATCTTGCATTCTGTACTTAGCCTTGCATTTCGTGTGCTCGCCCTGTTCATATTAGGTATTCTATATATTTTTCTGTATTGTGGGTTAATTACTGTGTTTTGGGCTTTTTCTCACTCTACTACTTCTCATTAAACTAGATAACCTCCAGGGGAGGGCTGGCAATGGGGAGAGTGGGACATACAGTGGTTATGAGCTCATTCCTCACCGCACAAACCAGCTGATCTAAATAACTGGAGGTGTGTTGGGATGCAGTTGTACAGAGCCCAAGATGTTAATGCTCTCAAGACCCACTGGGCATATTCATGGGATCTGTGAGTTTCATGTGCGAAACATAGCTATTACTTTGTACTTGTCCCGCATGATATTTGCTTTCTTCTGCAGTACTTGCAACATTAAAATGACTTACAAATAAGCCTAAAATTAACTCTGATGAATGTTAATCTGTAAAGTTAGTCCTTTGTTACCTCATATAAGATATAAGTACATTTTAATTTTGTTGTAAAGCACACTTCATGCTCTTAAATTAGAGTCAAGACCATGCATGTATCAGAAGCATATATCTAAACAGGATCACTTTCAGCTAATGCTTCTGATAAAGGCAATCATTGCTGTAATTTGATTCTTACTCACCACATGTAGACTGAACAGGTGTAGGATTCGTCAAATCTAATAGCTGCTGTAAATCAAACAACATGGGCAAGTAACTAGGAATGCTGCCTGCTAAATTCACTGAACAGTGTGACCTGAAAACAAAATGGACTCCAAGTCAGGTGAATTCACATTTTGGATGTGATTTTGCACTTTTCCAAATAGGTAGAACACAATACCTGGATTGCGACAACATCCTGGATCTGTGAGTTCCACAAGTAAAATATAATGGCTTTGTACTTGTTCCCCAGTCCTATTAGCCCAGTCCTGATAATACCTTCTGCTCTACAAACATAATAGCTCTGGAGACCAATTTAATGGAAGCGTTTCAAGTTTCCTCAAAATTTCATTAAAAAAAAGACTTTGAACATGAGCTCCTATTGGTATTTTTGGCCTTTTATTACTCTACAATTACTTTTTTTGTCTTGCTGTTTCTCCATAGACCTTCATTTAATGTTTTTGAATAAGCTTTCCAAGTGATTTATCATTTTTCTGATAAGCTTTTACAATTATTCAATAGTGTGAAAACCTTTTCTTATAATTTTATATTGTTTGATATGTTGATATATTTTTTATATATGATATGGTTTGAAAAAAATAATATTAAAGGTATTAAATCATTTGAAATGCTTACTCAACAATATGAAAGTAAGGTCATAGTTTCTCATCAGAGCAGATAACTTACTTCACTTAACAAGTTTCTCTTGTGCATAGATCCATAATTTGCTCTTCAAACTCCATCTGGCTTGGGAACAAGTTAAGGTAAAATAAAGTAAATCGAGATCGTCTGTAGACTTTACCTTCTGTGACTTTATAGCAGTCACTTGGCATAGTAAGTGCATTGGAGGAATCATCACAGTTTATCAAAATAATATTTTCTAGTTATAAGTATTTCGGAGATACAACATTGGTCAGTGTGTTATTTTTTTCGTTGTCTTCACTGGTCTGACTTGAAGGTTTTCATATTTTATTTTGAGACACTTTGAAACCATTTTAGTTTAGATTTCTTTGATTACCTGTACTTGTTTACATTTTCTAATGATTGAATGCGCATTATGTTTAAATAAATTATTTTTAAATGTATTACCATTTATATATTCTTTATTCTTTAAACGTGTTTGAACTCTACAATAAGAGTTTTTTTAAAAAAATAAGGCCATTACCCAAGCCAACAGCACAAGAGCCTACAACCATACATAGCACTCATGGAATACTCCAAGGGGAGGAAAAGAGACAATGTAGTAAAAATAAAATTAAAAAAAAGACTAGTATCACAAACTGCACCCTAACACTATGGTGTCGATTGAGCTTGTGCCCCCATCACTATGTTAATCTTGTTACCCTGTTCATATACGAACATATCAGCATTATGTGGGGATTTGTGAATCCGTGTCACGACAAATGTGCATGTTTATCTGTCATACAAAATGCGCATTAACCCTTTCGTCTTTCTGTAATGTTTATTTGACATACAAAATGAAAA